AATTTCTACTTTTGAATTAGCCTTCTAGTTTTGGATTTAACTCCATTGACAAAATAAGACGAAAGGGCTGCTGTTACACTGGCACTGTTGTTAACTCCTGAATATTGTCAGGAGGTATGTTATAGTCTATCCTGAAAATCTCCTATAGTTTCATCTTTTCTCTGTTTGCATTACTGAATTATGATACAACAGATTTTTATAGAAAACGTTTGGGATATTGCTTTTAGGAGGCTTTGTTCTACTTTTCAGGGCATTGTTTTTTTCGTGTTTTTTTTTTTTTTCCATACTCTAAGTTTATTGGGGAAAGAGCGATCCTTGTAGATCCCTTCTCATGTCGGTCCAATTAGCTTTTCCTTAAATCCAAGATTTAACACCTGAGGATCTGGCCAATATATGTATACATTGATATATTTAGGTTAGGTAACCCTGAATCATATGCATTCAAATGAATCCTAAGTTCTTCTATAAATAGTTGCTGGTCTTGTTTGGAAGTAGGGAAATCCTTGATTATTGCTCTTAATTCATCTTGGGTGCAAAGTTTAAATTCTGCAGCTGCCTGCATACCTGGCTTTTGAGGGGAGACGGATCTTTAGAAGCAATTGACATTTTCGAGTTTTAGGAGAGTTATTGGGACAATGCAGGAGGCCTGGACAAGAGGAAGAGAAGGGGGGTGTTGATGGAAGTGAAGAAAGAGAGATATCAGAAGGCTAAGGGATAAGAGGGACATCTGGATATAGGAAGCCAACCCAAAGGGGAAGATTTACTAGGAAATGTGTCTAGTTTGTTGTTGCTTAAGTTGTCAAATTGCTTATTTGCTTTAGCCAAAGCATCTTTTAGTGGAATAATTCTTGAATCAGAATTTCCTTTGGAGGCCTCTGTGTACCACTCAAAACCTGTTGCCCATCACACCTAAGAAATCTTAATTCCCTTTCTTTTCTAAGTTGCCCATCAAGTAAAACATTTTGTCAAGTCAAGTGTTTCCCAGAGTGGCCATTGAAGGCCCAACTCCGCATTGACAAAGTTATCCCACTTAGAGAGATAGGCACAAGCATTAGGATTGTAATGAGAGTATATATAAGCAGCAGCAGTTTTTCCTGGTAGAGAGGATTTAGATTTGGAGCACCCCATGAATGCTGGCTATGGTGTTGAAAGTTATGCTCGTGCTTATCCTGTCTCAGCCCCCAGCCTGATTTTTGCCCCTTTTGAACACAGACCGGACAATCTGTGCCCCCTGGCAGGCAGAATATCAGAATGACCTCTTTCTTTGGATCAAAAGCAAGCCCTCAGAACAAAAAATCAAGATGAAGGGAGAACTTCCTCCAGTTTTATTGGTGACCCACAACAAAATTTGTCCAAATGTATGTAGTCTGGTGAGAACTGCAAACTCATCGGTCTGTGAAACTGGCTTAAACAACAGGGTTGTAGGGCCCATGGCCATGTTCTACCGTATGATTCTCCTTCTTACGGAAAACAACACTTTTAGATAGCACAATTCAAAATAGAAGTACAAAGGACAGCACCAAGGATGAAAAGGAATTGCCTGATTCCACTAAGGATGCAAATAGGAACCAGTAACAAAATCTGAGTACCAGACTTCAGATGAATAGCTTAGGAACTCAAGGTAAACAGGGAGGAGTTCCAGGCCAGCACTGACTTACCATGTTGGCATGGACTTGACAAGCCATAGGCAACAAGGCACAAGGAGCCCCTGTGGGCACCACAAGTGTCCAAAGACTGAGGTCCACTGCCATGGACAGCACAGACCCTGTCTCAGTGAAGTCTCTGGGAAAACTGGAAATTCAGAGCTTGCTAGAGAAGGGAGTCAGTCACCATCATTGGCATTTGTCAGAGTCTCAAAGGCAGGCAGAGGAGTGGGAAAGCTTTATAGTGAAAGATTCAGGTATAGGGAAGAATTCAGGTGTGCCAATTGGAGGTGTTGGCAAGGAGAAGCTAAAGGTTGGCTAAGTAGAAACAGGGCATCTTATGTAATTTGTTTAAGGAGGATATTTGGCTTTCTCTAGTTGGTCTTAAGTTAGAAACGAGTAATAAAAGAGAGAAGCTGGCAGTCATTGTCCAAGTCTTAACCATTCTTGGCTGATTGCTGCAGAGGTGGTGGTTTGGAAGGTTAGTTGCTACAGAGGTTGTGGGTGAGAGTTCTGTTATCATATATGATCTGGCCATTGTCCATTTGTATAGTCAGTCTATCAAGGGGAAGATGTCATTGAGCAATTACCTCTCATTTAATCATCGTAACTGTCTCTTCCATATCCCTATTTTACAGATGAGGAAAGCAAAGCTCAGGAAGTTCGAGTAATGTATTTAAGGTTATACAACTAGTGACACTAGCAGAATTTAAACCTGTGTGTTCTGGACCTATTTTAAATGATGCCTCATCTTGTAAAGACCATGAGGTTATTTTGATGTTGCCCTATTAAAAATAGTAATTACATACTATTATTAGTGATTACATACTATTTTAAATAGTAGTTACAAACTATTTACTATTTTAAAATAGTAATTACATACTATTTTTAATAGATAGGCAACATCAGAATAACCTCATGGTCTTTACAAGATGAGGCATCATTTAAAATAGGTCCAGAACACACAGGTTTAAATTCTGCTAGTGTCACTAATTGTATAACCTTAAATACATTACTCAAACTTCCTGAGCTTTGCTTTCCTCATCTGTAAAACTGGGATATGGATAAATACTTGTTGGATGACTGAATGGATGAAAGTAATTTTAGAATACTTCTCTTGAAATTGCTTCCAAAGCTGGTATCTTTTGAATACCTTTAATGAATGCATATCTTGACAATGATTAATTTTTGGAAACAGACAAACATTTTCCTGAAGATGGTGAATAAGGTGAGAGGACAAGCTGGCTCAAAAACCTGGTGTGTCCGTTCAGTAATGAGGTTAATTTTGGGATTTTTGCACATTTTGCATGTGATTGACAAAGCAGCTTTGAAGGCTTTTCCAAAGACAAAGTTGCAAAAATAGTTGCATTTTGAGAATAAGAACTCAAGTTTCCAAAAGTTTGAAAGATAATACTCATTTTAGAAAGAAAGCTAAATTCTTGTTGTTTTGTGGTTTACCTGTTTAAAGTAGTTAAATAGTCTATGTCATTCAACAAATATTTATCAAACACCTATTATGTATTTAGTGCTGTGCTTTGAACACAGATATCAATATAGCCCTTGTCAACCAGGGGCTCACAGTCTAGTTGAGACAGAAAATTAACAATTGAAATGCAATTCAACAAGTACCATAAATACACTGATATATATTAATAGCTGGATGCCTTGGGAACATGCAGTAGAAACAGTGATGAGCTCGTGCATGTTGAACGACTGACTTCTAGGGGAGTGGGTTGGAGGGTAAGGGCCTGATTTGCAGTGTTTACTGATTTCCATGGCGTAAATGCTTCCACCTTGGCCAACGTGACATCATCAAAAGGGGAGTTGGAAGATGTGCAGTAGTATAACATTATATTGAATTTCCACCATATAGATAAAATGCATGTAAATAACCTGAAGAGCATAGATAATAGTAAAATGTAAAATAATTAGGAAGTGATGAATTTTGAGTATTTTTACTTTGGCTTTTAATACAATATTTGAGTGGCTGTATTTAAAAACTGGCTCACAAAATTCCTGGACATTTAACAATCAGCTCTTGCAGGTGAGTGTGAATCAGTGCAAGCGGGCATACCACCAGGTGAAAGCAATGTCAGGAATTACTGTAGGCTCACATAAGATGAAGATTGTAAAGAAACTGAAGGCAGGGATCTCCAGCAGTGAACCTCTAGGTTGTTGAATTGTTACAGGACTGCCAGGTTCCTATGTCAGCTGTGCAGGAACAGACCAATACTCCGACAGCAGGCTTGCAGCAGAGAAAGAGTTTTAATAATCACAAGTTACAAGCCAGGAAACAGGAAGAGTTCTCAAGCTTCAATTCGTTTCATCAAGGGGTTCTAGGCTAAGGTGTTTAAGGGGATTTGTGGAGGGTGAGGGGCTGGAAAATTTGGGGTTATCGATTTGTTGGGGTAAAGGAGATGAAATCATCAGGATGTGACAATTGCATTCCTCCATGAATCAGTTTTTTATTGGGCCTTCCAGACAAGCTGGCATCCTTAGTTTTATTGGTATGCAGGACCTAAAGAAGCAATGCAAACGAAAGCTTATCTTCTCACAATGTCTTAGATTTTATCTATAGAGCAGAAAAAGAATAAAATGTCTTGTTATAGGCGCCACATTCTCCTGGGGGTAGTAAATTAAGTCGGCCATACTCAAACTGGCTTAATAACAGCAGCTGTAAGCCTAGTTGGATTTTTTTCCCTCCCTTAATCAATTTTACAAAATGTTCTTGGGGATAGTTTCAGAATGGTCAAACTAATTCATTAATTCAATATCAATTTCTTTTTTTAGGCCCTACTTTATGCTGGGCACTGTTTTAGGTGCCCGGGGGAGGGGGGCACCGCAGCAAAAACGGAGGCCCTGCCGTTAGGTTAGAGAGTTTACATTCATGGGTGTGTGTGCGTGTGTGTGTGTGTGTGTGTATAAACAAACGTCTGGCATGTCACGTGGTGAGTGGTAAGTGCTATGGCTAAACATTCAGTAGTACAAAGGGGAAAAGGAGTGGGGCACTGCTATTTCCTATGGGGTTGTGTGGCAGTAATAAGTGTGGAAATGTATCAAAGTAAAGATTGAAGGTTCTGGCATCTGACAAACAGTTTGAATAAGGTGGAAGCACAGATCCTGCACAGATCTCAACCATCCAACAGGACTGGAACACAGAACTTAGAAAACCCCACGTACCTAGTTTTCACTCTGGTCGCCCGGTCTGCACAAGTGCAAAATCCTTTCTTGAAGTTCCTATTAGGAACACCAGGGTTTAACCAGACCAATCAGCTGCAGCAGGGCGGGGCTAATTTCAGTACCTCCTTTGCCTGAAGTCACCTAAAAGCGCGGACTCCATCGCGCATGCTCAAACACGCCAACTTCCTCCTGGAGCGCCGAGACGGTCTGCGCATGTGCAGAAGCGATAAGTTTTTGTGTGTGTGTGTGTTTTTTTTTTTTTTTTTTTTTTTTTTGTCCCAAGGCGTTGCCGTACATTCCAGGAGGCGAGTTGCATTCTGGTTCCGTCGTGAGTCTGGCGTGTGGAGCTGGTGCTCCCGCTTATTCGCCACTGTCGCCACCGCTGTCATGAACCGCGAGAGCTTCGCGGCGGGCGAGCGGCTGGTGTCACCGGCTTACGTGCGGCAGGGCTGTGAGGCCCGCCGCTCGCATGAGCACCTCATACGGCTGCTTCTGGAGAAGGTACCGAGCTGTCGGTCCCCTCCCCAGCCGCCGCGACCCCAGGGCTCTGGCTCCGCCCGCCGTTCCCGCTGGTGCTGCCCCACCGGCAGCTCTTTGCTGCTTGAGACTAGTCCCAAGTCTGTCTTAGCTTGGCTTGCCCTAGCTGACCGACTGCGGTCTGTGCCGTCTCAGCCTTGCCAAAGCCAGTGAAAGCCAAAGGGTGTTCTTAGGAGGGGGCGTTGGGGTCGGGGTTTTGAGTCCCGCTGTTTCTAACTTCGGGATGCGGAAGTGAGGGAAAGTCCCAGGGTACTTTTTTATTCGCGGAAAGGGCAAAGTTCGCACCTCCATCTTTCACCACGCTCAACGACTCAGAGCACATGTGGTGTTTGTAGACCACTGTATGCTAACTCGAACCACGAGGTTTCTGCCGAACCTCACAGCTCTGCCTCCTGCCAGCGTTCCTGAATTTTAATTTCATTAAAAGTTTTGTTGTGTTTTATTTTTTGAGTCTTGGCTCTTTTGCCCAGGCTGGAGTGCGGTGGCACGATCTCGGCTCACTGCAAGCTCCGCCTCTCGGGTTCACGCCATTCTCCTGTCTCAGCCTCCCGAGTAGCTGGAACTACAGGCGCCCGCCACCACGCCTGGCTCATGTTTGTATTTTTAGTAGAGACGGAGTTTCACCATTTTGGCCAGGTCTCAAAGTCCTGACTTCAAGTGATCCGCCCTTCTCGGCCTTCCAAAGTGTTTACAGGCGTGAGCTACCGAGCCTGGCCAATATTTCATTGAAGTTTGACAACTACCGCCCTTCTCCACGTCCCCCCGCCCCAATCGTAACGCCCTGGTTTGAAGCATCTTCATTGGGGATGTGGTGTATTGGTGTTCAATTAGTTTAGCTTACGGAAATCTAAATATCTGAGTAAATCTCATTGTATGCATTTATCATCACTTCTCGAAATCTATAAATAGTTGTAATCAAATGTACAAACTTTTTGTCTCCTTGCTGTCTCTATATAGTGCTGAATTTATGCCTGAATTTTAGAAAACAAGGAGCATGGCAAAGTACACATTAAAAAGTGAAAATGTATTCCTGTAGTGTTCTAGAGAACGATGGTTTTATTAAATATAATCATAAGGTTTTTTGTTGTTTTTTTTTTAAGGGCAAGTGTCCAGAGAATGGCTGGGATGAAAGTACACTTGAACTCTTTTTACATGAACTTGCAATCATGGACAGCAACAATTTCTTAGGCAATTGTGGTGTGGGAGAAAGGGAAGGGAGAGTGGCATCTGCATTAGTTGCTCGTCGTCATTACAGGTATCTTTTTTTAAGTAGTATGGGAGACATCGTTTATTTTTGGTTCAAAATAATGGCAGCAGTTTTCATTGTTAGATTATCAAATGTCTGTAAACCACTTTTTCCCTGCTCAAATGGATATGTAAACCAAATGCAACAGGGAGATGGAAACAATTTTATCTCAGCAGGTGCTTTTCAAAGACAATAGAGTAAAAATATGTGGGGGTTACCCCGTCAGGTTCTGGGTGACTAACACAGGCTATACATTTTCTGAGGAATGGTAACCCTAATAAACATCTGGTTGTAAGAGTTTAAAATCCGTTAAGGTTGTTTATAGTTTTCCATGTTTCTTTTCTAACATTGGCAGTGTTTTGTTTTGTTTTGTTTTTTTTGAGAATGGTTTGTAGTTAGAACTTTAAACTTTGTTTTAAACTGAATCCCATTTTATAAATACCTCTCTGTTGCAATAGATACAGGGAAAGGTGTATTAGATTATTGAGTGATTTTTTTCTTTTGCATTATTGCAGAAAGCTTTTCATCAATTCTGATAATGATTTAATTGGTAGTTCCAAATATGATCACTCATTGCTCTGTCCACCAACCTTTCTGTGAAGTGTAAACTCTTTTAAATAAAACTCCTCTCTTCCATGCTTTTACATTATAGTGAAAATTTCCTGGGCATAGTAGAATTTGTATTTCAGTAAAAATCACTGCAGTCAAAACTGATGATAATGCCTAACTTGGATGAAAATTTCAGTTAACAGTTTGCTGATAACATGGTTGATAATATATGTAAGAAATGTTTTGTAAATGAGATTTCAGTGGTGAGGAAGTACAACATTAGTATTCTTCGATAATCCCCCTATACAGAATTTCTGATATATTCGACTGTCAATTAGAAATTACTCAGGTTACAAAAGGGTTTTTTATTTTAAAGAGTATTGAGAAATATCTTTAAACAATGTATAATATCGTCTAATTTAAAATGAGTAGATTTGCACACTGATTTTCTAGGAGCACATACTTCTTTTAAAATTAAGGCAATATTTGAACCATCGTTGGAACTTAGCCCACTGTGTGATTAGGGGAAAAGGAAAGAAAAAAGATAATTTGGTTGGGCGCTTTGGCCCACGCCTGTAATCCCAGCACTTTGGGAGGCCAAGGCGGGCGCATCACGAGGTCAGGAGATCCAGAGCATCCTAGCTAACAAGGTGAAACCCGTCTCTACTAAAAATACAAAAAAATTAGCCTGGCGTGGTGGCGGGCGCCTGTATTCCCAGCTACTCTGGAGGCTGAGGCAGGAGAATGGCGGGAACCTGGGAGGCGGAGCTTGCAGTGAGCTGAGGTCGGGCCAATGCACTCCAGCCTGGGCGACAGAGTAAGACTCCATCTCAAAAAGAAAAAAAAAAGATAATTTATTGTTTCATATATTTCAGTTTTCTATTGCTACAGAACAAGCCACCCTAAAATTAAGTGGCTAAAAACAATTACTTATTATTACCTCTCATAGTTTTTTGGATTAACTGGGCTCAGCAGGGTGAGTATTGCTTTGGGTATCTCATGTAGTTGCAGTCAGATACTAGCTGAGAGTTTAGTCTTCTGAAGGTTTGCCTAGCATGAAAATTTCACACAGTCACTTCCGCTAGATTCTTCCTGGCCAAGCAAGTCACTAAGTTCAGCCCAGATGCAAGTGGAGAGGAAGTAGACTCCATCTCTTGGTGTGGGAGTAGGATGTGGGCACAGGGAGAAAAATAATTGATGGTGGCCGTCATTGGAAACTAGCTATCACAGCATAATTGATGAAGTTGTTTCAGTTTAAGTAGGAGAGTTCCACATCATTAATAGTTTGTGACATATATCTGTAACAGCCGAATATTGCTCCTGTGTTTTTTGGGTTATTATATTTGCATATTTGTACATTGTATTACTTAGAATGCTGAATGTATTTGTCCAGTTTTTGGCCCATTTTTTGCTTAGGTTCATTCATGGCATTGGACGATCGGGTGATATTTCTGCTGTGCAACCAAAAGCTGCAGGCTCTAGCCTTTTGAACAAAATTACCAATTCTTTGGTCCTGGACATTATAAAGCTGGCTGGTATGTACAGTCTTAATCATAATACTTTTGGCTGACTGGACACACACACACACACACCATTGACTATTTCCTTTATTATTGCCCCTTTCCAAAAAGAGTATGACTTTTTCTAAAAATAAAAAGTCTTTAGAATAAGATAGAAAATCAGAGCCATAAGCTCAGAAGTTGAATTTGGCGTTGAGCTTCCCAAGAGTGAGTACAGAAACAGAAGCACTAGGGCTACGACTCTTATTATTTTTTAGATGAAATATATTATTTCCTCAAGAAGGATGCTGGGTGCTTAGCGGGATAACAGATTTCTGTTTTGCTGCTTATTTGTAGGTGTCCATACAGTAGCCAACTGCTTCGTAGTTCCTATGGCAACTGGCATGAGTCTAACTCTGTGTTTCTTAACATTACGACACAAAAGACCAAAGGCAAAGTATATTATATGGCCACGAATAGACCAGAAGTCCTGCTTTAAATCCATGATCACTGCAGGTAAGAGAAGAAAAGTGTTGTGTATAATGTTTTAAACATCACAATTAGAAAATTCAAATTTCTTATATAAAGATAAATGAAAAATTAACTCTGTTCCCTATTGCTTTTTTAAAAGAAAAAATTGTGGTAAAATAACAAAATTTAATGTTTGTATTACTTTATACAACTTTTAAGTTTATGGATACCTAAATATTTATGGTTCCGTAATTATTATTTGTTGCTGAGCCTTTGCTTATATACTAGTTAAGTGTGCTGTTTTAATTGAAAAATGTGAAAACAATTTTTATCTTTAAATTATGCAAAATTTACTGTATACATTTTGTTTTCATAGGAGGCTTTTGTAGGCTATGCGATGGATCAGTGATCCTTAGGCTGCTGAAATTTATTACGTTTTTCTTTAGAGGTAAAACATTGAGTAGATAATTGTGATTTGTTTCAGCAAGTGAATTGTATTATTATTAATGTCCATCTCTGAAATAAAGTGAACTTTAAAATAAAACAGAAATATTGCCAGAGAATGAGTGGACTTACTTTTCTCTGGATTGAAATTGAACTGGATTAAAGTGATCCTTTTTGTCATCAGTGTCCATGTTATTACTTCTCTAGATATCTAACATTTGTTTTCCTTACTTTCTAGATTTCATTCTTGTCATATCCTAGTGTTAAATAGACTTATGGTCCTAAAATTGTGTAGTCATCCGTCACATTATTTTGACCTGCCTTTGACTAATACCAGTACTGAGCCGTGTATTTATTACCAGAGGAAGGTTAATCTACCAAAATAAATATTAAGAGTTCTTGTGTAGAATAGCATGCTTCCTAGAGTTTCAGGATCTTCCCTTATTTTAGTTCACACTAACATTTTTTTTTCTGGTTGCTTTGGTTAGGTTTTGAGCCTGTGGTGATAGAAAATGTTTTGGAAGGTGACGAGCTGCGTACAGACCTGAAAGCAGTGGAGGCTAAAGTCCAGGAACTTGGGCCTGATTACATTCTGTGTATTCATTCTACTACATCATGTTTTGCTCCAAGGGTGCCTGATAGGTAAATGATTTGTGAATATTGTCCTTAAGTTATCAGTCTTTTAAATAAAATATGATATACTAATTCTCAAATATGCTTAAATAACACTTCGTAATAAATAAGTGAATGATCTGTTCTAAGAGAATAGATTGACCTTGTGAAGAAATAGTGTAATGGCTTGGGAAAACAACCATTTGAAATAGAACAAGGGAAAACAACTAGTACAGGGTGGGGAGCTCCCTTTATCAATTGAGTAGATGCAGACTGTCTCTGTTTTCCTGCTCTTTGTCCTGTTTCTGATCTCTTAGCATGTTTTTTCTTATTATTTAATAGAAGTTTCTTTTCTAAGCTAAATGTTGAATTTACTTCTTTTCATTGCTATCAGTATTAATAAATTAAAAATTTAGGATTGTTTATTTTCAAATTGCTGTAATTGGAAGATTAACTCAGATGTATACTTATGTGTGCTTAGTGGTTGTCATTGTCTGCATTTTGAGAATAATATAAACATTTAAGAAAATAAAAGCAAAAAGGAAAGAAAAAGCAAAGGTTTGCTCTTCTAAAGGATAGCCACACATTTTTATTCTGAAAATGTAATAGGCTCAGGTCTAGTAATATAGATTTCTGGTTTTGACTACAATTTTTTTTTTTGTTTCATTTTAACATTTTGAATGGAAGAGGTAATAATTCGTAGGAACTATATTGACTTTGGGCTTTTCTTGTAGCATCAAGTTATACCCTGGTTTTAATTCATGGAAGTACATTATTTGGCAGTAATGAATGCCATGTTGGCTTTTGTTATCTTATAGGCAGATTGTAAGAGACAATTTTTTAACTATGCTCTTAAAAATTTACCTTGCTACATTCATGAGCCTGTGAACTCTATTTTAAGATTACTTTGCATATGCTGCTGTGGTTTATTCATTACTTACCAGATTTCAAATTTATATTGAAATATTAAATAAACATCATTCTTATTGGTGGTTTTGATATATATATAATTTTTAATGTGATAGAAATCACATTTTGAAAAACAGCTAATGGATATTTGTATTAGTTGGATTATTTATCCTTGTGGATACTTTGCTTTTGTTTCATTTTGACTAATAATGTCTTTTGAATGTTTACAGTATGCCTGGCACAGTGTCAAGTGTTTTACCCGTATTATCTCCTTTAGAAAAAATTTAATAAAGCTTTTTATCAGTCAGAAAAATTCTTGTTTGTCACTGTTGTGTAATGAATATTTCTGAATAAGAGTGAAGTTTAGGAAGAGGGTGGTGGACAGTAATGTTTGAATTTCTGACTTTATTAAATTTTAAAACTACATTTTGATTTTTTTTACATCAAGCTTCATTCCTTTATAGTCTTAATTTTTTGGGTACAGTATACATTTTGTTTTTGTTAATTAGACAAAAAGTAGAGGAAATTCACTTAAGGGAAATGTTGCAAAAAAGAAGGGTATTATTTCTTCTGACTGATAAACACGTTAAATTGGCTTCTAAGTTAGAAAACAATTTGATAGATATGAAAAATATTTTTTCTGCTTCTCCTTTCATTTAATACGTTTGTTTTTTAAACACACCCTAACCATTAACAGATTTAGGTAATTCAGATTATTTAAAAGTACTCTCAAGTTATTTTTTTTTTCTTTTAAAAATAGAGCTTAATGTTATGGAGCTTTATTTTCAAAGTTTTTTATTAAGGAATATTTTCATCAGAACACACACATATGAAAGTGCCTTTTATTTTACGAAGAAAATACTTGTGTGTATCCCAGAAGGTCTATTTTGTTAAAAACATCATCTGATTAGTTTGAAGTAACAAAAAGGATTTCTATATCAATTTGTAGGGTTTGTGAAAATGAATGACAAAATGAGTTTTTAATTCATGAGACTTCAAGCAAATTGATAACTTGTTTTTGGTCTGAGGCAAACTGGATAAAAAAAAGAAAACTTGTAACAGATGAACATAATGGTATTCCTGCTTACAGTTAAAAATATATTAATGACATCTACTAGAAATAGTACATGTATTATGCATAAATCGGTAATTCAAACTATATATTTGAAATATATCCTGTCAAAAAGGACTTTACTTGTATAAAAATGCTTTCAAATTCTTTATACTTTAGAAAGAAAACTTTAATAGTTTTACTAAAACATAGGATTTAGTTTTAGTTTCATAGCATGAAGACATTTCTATTAAAGATGAGCTCAGTCACAAGAAGTATTTGGCTTTGTGAAAGAACATCTATTTATTATGCTGCCACTGAAATTTGTTACCTTACTTTGCATAAAGTTAGACTCTCAGATTAATATGAGAGGTGTAAAATGAAAAAGTAAGAGTAGATAAGGGTGGATTTAAAACCAGGAGCTATTTAAAAGATTCCTCAGTATCCAAGTTGTTGGAAAATGTTAGTTATTTTGGTAATGACACATTTTAATGTTCTGTATTTTTTAATACATTAAAGTCTATTTGAGTATGCATTTTTTATTTTATGAGATGTTTAATGTAAGATTTCTTAAGATTCCAGATATGCTAATTATTTTGCAGATACTAGCTTCGGTATGGTAAGCAAACAAAAGTGAAAAAAAAGAGCATACCACCTTGTGAGGGGGCATTATAAATAAATCTTCTGGCTTTCTATTTAGGGAATTTTTAATTTTAAAATGATTTACCATCTACATAAATTTTTGTATTTTTTTCTTATATTGATAACATTAATTTAAAAGCCTTTTAAGTTTATTCAAAAGAGCTTGCTCTGTATTTCCAAGCTGCTCTATTACATGTCAAAATACTGCAATAGAAATTTCAGTATTTGTCGTTGTTTTCCCTTGGTGTACATTAAGGATAACTAGTAAATTTTTTTAAAAGTTTCTGCACTAACATTTATAAAGCACAGTGTGAGTATGTCTTTCTATTGAATATTTACATTTATAGATTAGAAGAACTGGCTGTGATTTGTGCTAATTATGACATTCCACATATAGTCAATAATGCTTATGGAGTGCAGTCTTCAAAGTGTATGCACCTCATTCAGCAGGTAAGAGAGTTTAAAATATATATGTCAAGGAAAAATTCAGTTTAACATATTATAGGATTATTACTTTTTCTTACAATCTGATATAGTAAGACAGTTATTTATGACCATCTGCTTCAGGTTGTGTTAGAAACTTGCATCTGATAATCTCAATAAAAGTCATTATTCTTTGGTACTATGGTGGTAATTGGACTGATAGCTTTGGTAGGCTAGAATCAACATGGAAATACTTTAGTAGTTTAGCTTTTAACTTTCTGAGACTGTTTCATTACCAGGATTCTCATTTTTCTAATATACTGGATTATATCATTTAAAAAAAAATGTGATTTATTCTATATTTAAGGAATTATTGTACCTTATTATCTTAGACTAGAAGTGACTTCATTTATAAACATTCTAGTATATACCTGTGGAATTGGCAGGTTTTTGTATTTTTTTTTTTAAGCATCAGCTAGATCCTGGTCATTTGTTTGAGGTTCTACTTTTGAAAATGTGTCTTTGTTTCCCATGTCACTTGTAAGAACTATGGCCTACAGGCTTTGTGTATTCGGGTCTTTGCTGATTTGCTGATTTCATTTTCTGCTTTCCTTTTGCTTGCTGTGCTCCAACCACCCTTGCTGCCTTACCTTTTTTCCATTTTGTCACATGCCTGCACTTCCAGGCCTTTGCTCTTGCTCATCCCGCTCACTGGATTGCTCTTCTAGAGAGTTGCGTAGTTTTCTTTTCATCAGTGAGACTTCCTCAGAAACTCTATCAATGATTGTCATTATTGACAATCAGTAACCGGTTACTGGACAAAGTGAATGAATAAATGAAATATTGTATTTATTTATGCATGTATGATACAGGCTATATAGTTTGTGTGCATAATTATGTTAATATACATACTCAGTTTTGGCAAACATGTCAAATCCTATCTAACACCTCCCCCTTCCTCACCAGTGTTTTCTACTTTTTTATTTTTTTGAGATAGGGTGTCACTCTCTTGTCCAGGTTGGAGTGCAGTGGTGCGATCACAGTTCACTGCAGCCTCAACCTCCCACGCTCAAGTCATCCTCCTACGTTAGCCTCCTGGGTAGCTGGGACCACAGGTGTATGCTATCACACTCAGCCAACTTGTATTTTTTCTAGAAATGGGATTTTGTCATGTGGCCCAGGCTGGTCTCAAACTCCTGGGCTCAAGCCAGCCTCCCACCTCTGCCCCCCAAAGTACTGGGATTACAGTTGTGAGTCACTGTGCCCAGCCCTTGCTAGCATTTTCTATCCCTCTTTTTGCTTTTTTACCATGTTCATTGATTTTAAGATGCAGTGTTCTACATTTTGACATCTGAAATTGTGATGTCTTATAATCAATGGTGTCTTACAGTGTTAATAGGCAATGTTTTTTTTTACACAGTGACATATAAAATAATGATGTTTCTTATAATTGATGGCTCCTTGCTGTTTTTCTCCAGAACACTTATCACCATTTGGTATAATGTTTGTTATTGACAGTAATTATAATTAAGGTTCTGTTGGGATAGAACTTTTGTTTTGTTCACTGTTGCGCCCTCAATACTTAAGACAGTATCTGGTACATAATGGACAATTAATAACTGGTTACTGAACAAAGTCAGTGAATAAATGAATTATTGTATTTATGCATGTATGATATGGACTACAGAGTTTGTGTGTGTAATGATGTTAATATACGCCTTCAGTTTTGACATACATGTGATTTGTGTTATGTGGGCGTAAGTTATTCACAGATTACCTGTGGCCTGCGCCGATGTGGTAAATGCTCTGAAGCACAACAGATACTCTCTAGTACATTTTTTTGTCTTCTATATTATTTTTCGTATACTAGTATCATCTTTTACATAAATGTGGTTTATATGAAATAGTAATCGCAGATTTGCTTAATTTCTTTACTCACCTTTGTATCAGTTAGGATGTCATTGGCAGCAAGTAACAGAAACCCAACTCAAGTTGGCTTAAACCAATAAGGAAATGGATTAATTTATGTAGCAAGTCCAGAGGTGGAGTGGGTTGTAGGCATGGTGTGTTAGGATTTCTTAAAACCTTTAGAGAAAGACTGTTTACCACTTCCTTGGTATTTCTTTTCGTTATTCCTTAACTTTTTAAGGCTTCTTCACTTATTCTGGACTAGGTTATATCTAATTTGTATGGTCATAGAGGAAGGGTGTACTATTTTCTACACTGGAAATCTTGAAAAACATTTTATTTCAGTGATTGATTTTTATTCTTCCTTTCCCTTTCCCCCTTGCTCTTCTTCTCTGTAATTTTTAGCAGCTTCTCTTCTTTTAAAAGTCAAATACCATCAGCATTACTAAAAGTTTAGGAAAATGAGCAAGGAGTAGAAGATCACTCATAATGCCATTACTCTAACAAATATCCTTAAAAATTTATGTGTTTACTTTTTCTCTTTTTGTATGCATATTGTTTTTACATAGTTATATTCATTGTGTACATTTAATTTTTTTAGTGTTATATTTCTGTACCCTTCAGATGCCTATAAAGTTTTCATAATGATCATTTTAATGATACAACATATTTTTAAATACTAGAAAATTTGGTGGTGCACTTGAAGAGGTTAAAACTAAAAGAGGCTGGGTGTGGTGGCTCATCTCTGTAATTCCAGCACTTTGGAAGGCTGAAGCTTGTGGATCACTTGGAGCCAGGAGTTTGAGACCTCCCTGGGCAACAAAGCGAGACTCCATCTCTACAAAACTAAAATTAAAAAAAAAATTATCTGGGCGGTGTGGTGGTTTGTACTTGTAGTCCCAGCTACTTGGGAGGCTGAGGCAGGAGAATGGGATAAACCCAGGAGGCGGAGCTTGCAGTGAGCCGAGATAGTGCCACCGCACCCAGCCTGGGTGACAGAGCGAGACTCCGCCTGAAAAAAAAAGAGCTCCAGAATACAATAAGAAAGGTGCCCTTGGAGTTGCACATCCCTAATACTCTGCTTTGTCATTACCTCTCTGCATTTGGGAGGTGGTTTTACTAAAATTTTAACCAAAAAATAAAACTATAAGATGGGTGAATAAACTTTTAAATGCAGATATTGTTGCAGATAATGTATTACCTTCTAAAGTTGACATTTCTTTAAAGAAATGTCTTTGATACATAATATTTAGATATATTTATGGAGTGCATATGATATTTTGATACATGTACAGATTGTGGGATGATAAGTCAGAGTATTTAGGCTATCCATTACCTGGCATTTATTACATCCTTTTGTGTTGGGAACATTTCACATCCTCTCTTCTAGGTATTTTGAAATATACAATACATTGTTGTTAATTATAGTCACTGTACTGTGCTATTGAGCATTAGAACTTACTAAAATGGATATTTCTTTAAAACAAAAAAAGCAAATATATAAAGATTCTATTTTTCCCAAATTGGCCTTCACCAAAAGAGGTTGTGGCACTATTGATTTAAATCAAATGAATACTTGAGTCTTGTTGAGTGCAGGTTGCTGTTTCATGACATTCTAAAAAATTTAAGTTAGCTTTAATTCATCTAAATAGTCCTTATTGTTGATATATACCATTTACTACACACTTTCCATGTGTCAGCCATCCTACTTGGCTTTTAAAGTTATTAACTGAATCCTGACAATTTAAGTGTACTTCTTATTCCCATTCTGCACATGGAGAAATAAAATAAGTAGGATTAAATGACTTGCTCAAGGTCCCATAGCTACAAAATAGTGCATCTAGTTCAGTGCGACTCCAAAGTCCCATTTTTCTGTTAAAAAACAAGGTACTAAAGTACTAATACTATAAGTCTCTTCTTGAGAAAATAATATTGCAATAATCAATCAAGGAAGGAAAACTATAAATAAAATGTTTTTTATTTTTATTAACATGTTTTTAACTTTTTTATTTTTAAGGTGAGACCCTAGAATGCCTTAATGCTGAGCCTATAGAGTATTCTGTATGCTCATGTAGCCCCCCCAGGGAAATTAGTTATGAATAACCTATATTTCTGTTTATATTTACTAAAATGAATTTAAGAGATTCATGGATTATGGATGTTAGGATAGATTAATGGAGAGGGATATAGTAGAGTCACAAAAATATGTGTATAAGACTAATTATTTTGAGTCAGAATAGATTGTAAAGCTCCAAAAGTGTGGGAAGCGGCAACTTTGCCTATTAAGAATTTGGGAGAAGTAGGTGTTACTACTGTTTATTCACAAACCTAATTGCCTCTTTATTCAACAAATACTTTCTGGGTTCCTACTTGTGTACCAGGCACCAGGGTAGGAACTGGAGATGAAATAGTGAATGCGACAAAATCTTTAACCCTCATGGAGCGTTCTGTTTTTTGTGGGAAAGCAGAGAGTAAACCTTGAGTATGACAAGTCTCGGATAAATGCTTTGGTATTTGGGGAGGATGGATGTCATTAGATGGAGTGATCTAGGAAGCACTCTTCAAGAAGTGCATGTGAATGGAGCTCTGAATGACATGAAGGAGGAGGCTTTGCAGCTCTCTAGAGAGACAGATTCTAGACAGAAGCTAATAGCCAAGACTCTGAGGGAGGAGTGTGCTTGGACTGTGTGAGAAGTAGCAAGGAGGCCAGTATGGCTGAACCATAATGAACAAAGTGAACAGTGGTTGTAGAGCTTTGAGGTGTGTTAAGGGTTTGGGATTTTATTCTTGGTATGATCATTGGCCATGGAAGGATTTCAAGCAGGAAAGAGTGACATGCTATGTGGGAAATAGACTAGGGAGGCAAGAGTGGAAGGCCGTTGCAGCAACCCATATGAGATTTGTTTGTGGCTTTGGCCAGGGTGGTAGTTGTGAAGGTGGTAATAAATGCTTTTATTCAGATGTATTTTGAGAGTGGATTTTAGAGCATGTACTGGTGACTTAGATGTAGCTGAAAAAAGGGGGCTCTGTACCATTTCTGAGATTGGGTCTGGCCTGTTTGTTTTCTTGCCATAGAATGTGCTGCTTTTTAAATGCTTTCTGTGTTTTAGTGATGGAAGAGTTCTAACAAAGTCTGATGCACTGATTCCTCTAGTATTTCTGCTTCCAATTTAGGTTCCTGTTTCTCTCAGGAGGCCTTGGACAGTACTAAAATATTAATACAAAGGCAACTGTCACTGTTCCACTTATTTTTATGTGCTGCTACTTCGCATGTTTTCCAGTTGTTTTTTTTTTATTCTGTTAGTCTTATATGCGTCTCTCTGTTTTCCTGTGATATGGTGAGATTTTCTCTGATCATGGTTTATTAGGAAATTAGAAGAGGAAGAGGAAGGTTAAGATTTGAACAGTTGTATAATGGCCTCCAGAGCAGCTGCTCCTCTTCCCTGCTTCAGCTGCTTCCACCTGTTGCCTGGATCTGGACTCTTAGATTAGGCCAGCTATCTGCTCCTTCTATTCTCCCTCAGATAGCAAGATGTGAAAATGAAGGTCAAATATGGTTATAATATTAATAGGAATGCAGATTGTGAATACAGATTGAAAATTTGTGGCTACAAATAAAGAAAAAGACTATCTTAGTTGTAATTTAGATAGTATCTGTATTTTTAAGAGGAGAAAATTGAAGCACATTAGACAGAAGGTCATAGACTGTGTTGGACGAGGACCGAACTTACTTTTACATTTCTAGTAGGTAAGTATTCAATTTTTCACCAGAATATTAGATTTTCACTGGAAGTTCATTTGCAGTGGAATGAAGTCATCTAAGTTTACAATATTAGGGAGCAGGAGTTATGTAGAAACCTTGCTTCTAAACTTGCCAAGAGGATACAAATAAAATTTCCATTAAGTGATGTTAAAAGTAAAACTTTGCATTTCTTTTTTGTTATCTGAGTGCTTAAAATGGTCATACAGGTAGTAGATTGTGCAAGCATTAAAGAGAGGCACACATATAATTAACTGTTTGACAACTCGGATGGCTATAGTCCCTTAGGTTATGGTGGCCACCCTCGAACTTACAGAGGGTGTTTAAAACCACTTAATAGTTACAGAACCCATTGTAGACATTTGTTGTCAAAAAGGAGCACAGATGAGATGCATGGGATGAATCCATTCTCTTTTTTTTTTGAGATGGAGTCTCACTGTGTCGCCCAGGCTGGAGTGCAGTGGTGAGATCTCGGCTCAGTGCAAGCTCTGCCTCCTGGGTTCACACCATTCCCTTGCCTCAGCCTCCTGAGTAGCTGGGACTACAGGCGCATGCCGCCACGTCTGGCTAATTTTTTGTTTTTTTAGTAGAGATGGGGTTTCACCGTGTTAGCCAGGATAGTGTCGATCTCCTGACCTCATGATCCGCCGCCTTGGCCTCCCAAAGTGCTGGGATAACAGGCGTGAGCCACTGCGCCTGGCCAAATCCATTCTTTCTTATCAAATTTTAAGGTGTAAAATTTTGTTTCATTAAAGTTCCCACCTGAGCTGATACTGAAACCATGCTTGCCTCACAGAATTGTTATGAAAATTAAATGATTTATGTGTGAAAGCACGTTGTAAGCTTAAAGTTTCACATATAAGCAGCACCATTAAAAATTTTGTTTTAATACTTAAAAACGTTTTCTTGGCACTATTACAAAGAAAATAAAAATAAAAATTTTCAATCGGTTTTTCTGTGCATTGTTTTAATGGTGTTTATTTTTATTCTAAGATAGAGTTGACAAAGATTGTGTATTTTTATGGTGTACAATTTGATGTTTTGATGCATGTATATATCGTGAAATGGTTAAATCAGGCTAATATATTAATTAACTCAAATAGTTATAATTTTTTGTTGTGGTATGTATTTGTTAATAGCAGTTGTCTGTTTTCCTAGCAACTAATATGTAATATTATATTGATTCTAGGGGGCTCGAGTTGGTAGAATAGATGCTTTTGTTCAGAGCTTGGACAAAAATTTTATGGTTCCAGTAGGTGGCGCTATAATTGCTGGCTTTAATGATTCCTTCATTCAGGAAATCAGCAAGATGTATCCAGGTAAATAAATAAGTTGCTTTTCAGAAAAAGTAACTAACAAAAATCCATTTGTACATAGGCTACTGTAATAAATCTTAATTTCTACAGCTACCCCCCCATCTTCTTAATGTAACTTATCCTTCTTATTTCAGGAAGAGCTTCAGCTTCACCTTCTTTAGATGTGCTTATTACTTTATTGTCACTTGGATCAAATGGCTATAAAAAGCTACTAAAAGAAAGAAAGGTAAGCTTTCCCTTTATATATCGAATAACATTCTCGACTAGAACCGTGCTCCAAATCTTTGGTGTTTCTGCCTATTGGTTTCTTGCATTGGGAGGGAGACATCTAGTATGGTCCGACACTATTTATTCAGATCGATTTATTCAGATCTGTTATTCAGTTTCCTATTAGTTTTTGTCAGCCTGTCTATCCAGATATTACGAGGAATCTTGGTTAGGTGATTTTACTTTTATTTATTTACTTTTTAGAAACTCCTGCATTAGGGACTCCTATTCAGTAAAATTCAGTTCATTTATCACTTAAAGGTAGAAGCTCTTAAAAGACAAATGGACAAGTCATCTTTTTAGTTTTTGGAAACGTGAAAATTGTTTAGGGGTGAGATGTCAGTCACAGTAGGAAGAACCAGGTCAGAAGTTAGCTCTATCTTTTTCTACTAAAATAGTAAATTTATCTTTTGTCTTTTTTTTTTTTTTGAGAGGAGTCTTGGGCTGGAATGCAATGGCACAATCTTGGCTCACTGCAATTTCCGCCTCTCGGGTTCAATCAATTCTCCTGCCTCAGCCTCCCGAGTAGCTGGGATTACAGGCGCATAATTTTTTGTATTTTTAGTAGAGATTAAAATTGGCCAGGTTGGTCTCCAACTCCTGACCTCGTGATCCACCCGCCTCAGCCTCCCAGAGTGCTGGGATTACAGGCATGAGCCACTGCTCCCGGCCTATTTCTTGTCACTATTGAATGCTGAACTCATTGGTTATATTGGTTGTGAAAAGAAGTTACATTTATGCTTGAAAACAGGACTTTATCTCCAACACAACTAGCTTAATTCAGGACACCTCCAAAAGGCAGAGATCATATAGCTAGGGCAGGCAGTGTTTTATTCATCTTCTATCTGGGAGAGAGTGAATCCTCTGGTGCAGTTTTTAAATCTGATAACTTTCTAGCACTTAATAACAATTGTAGTCCCTTATATTTATAATAGTACTTTATATATTCGAAAGCATTTTCATATGTATTATCTCATAGATCTTCTCATAGCCTTAGGATGAATACATGACAAGTTTAAAAATCTTGTGCTCTGTTTTACCCCGGTCCTCCTTCCCCTACTAATTCATTCCATGGGAAAGTATTTGTTTAATTGTGAGGACATTTCTTAAGATCTATGTGATATAGGAAAAGATGCTCAATGTTATTAGTAATTAGGGAAATGCAAATTTAAAACCACAATGAAATACCACTACACACCTTTTAGAATGGCTAATGTACCGAAATATGCAATAAGATAATGACTTTCAAATGCATTATGCTAAGTGAAAGAAGCCAGACTCAAAAGGCTACGTATTGTATAGTTTCATTTATATGCCATCCTGGAAAAGGTAAAAAATATAAGGAAAGAAGAAAGATTAATGGTTGCTAAAGGCTAGGGATTGGGGAGGGAACTTTTTAGGGTGATGAAATGTTTTATGTCATGATAGTGGTAGTGGTTTCATGACTGTATACGTTTGTCAAAATTCATAGAAGTGGGCACCAAAAAAAGAGACACCCCGAATTTTACTATATGTGAATGAATTATACTTCAAGAAGTCTGACAATGAATTTTTATACAATAAGAATAAAACTCTGGTTTTATGAACTCCAAATTGTAATCATTCGTGGTCGTAGATTGTTGTAGCCAAGAGAAGACTGTGGCAAATCTTTCAAGGAACCAGATCCATATGTCAGATGACAACTCTCTATAGATGAGGAAAATCTGTCATCTGCTTATATGAGAGTTTAGTTGTTTCAGATGCCAGTGGTTCTTAGCTCTCCTATAACTAGTCATTTCGTCCTGGAAAAGTTTTAAAGATTTTATTTCCCCATTTCATTTGTGAAAGACACAATTGACATCTCAGGCCACTTTTAGTTTTAAAAGACTCTGGAATATTTCTTAAAAGAGTTACTTTCTGGACTTTGGACATAGTAATCATGAGAACTGGCCTATAATTTAGTAATCCACTATAAGGCATATTGGTAATATAAACTGGACATTTTGTAAATTTGAGTTTCTCTTTTTAACACAATGGTCTCTTCAGTTTCATGTTAGCTCATACCCGTTTTTACCCTCATCAAGCTGTCTTGGCTTTCCTCCCTGCATCTGAATAAGCCCATTTTAAATAGCGGAGTCTAAAGTATGGAAATGCAAAGGTAAAGTTGAATGTGAGATAAGATTCATTGAGTAAATATTTAACTTACTGTGTATTTATTGACCACACGTAATGTGTCAGGCATATAGATAGATATAGCAGTCAATACAGTAGATAAAGATACTTGCTTTTGGGGAGCGCACATTGCCTATGGGGGAAACCAGCAATAAACAGGCAACATAATACAGAAATTACAAAGTTTACTTGAAGGTGATAAAGTCTATGAAAAAAAAGCAAGATTAAGGAGAATTTGGGATGATGAGGTGGTGGTGGGAACTGATTTTTAAATATAGTGGTTAGGGCAGGCCTCGTTGAGAAGGTGACTTTTTTTTTTTTTTTTTTTGAAGACAGAGTCTCACTCTCTCCACCAGGCTGGAGTACAGTGGCGTGATCTTGGCTCACTGCAACCTCTGCCTCCTGTGTTCAAGAGATCCTCCCACCTCAGACTCCTGAGTAGCTGGGATTACAGGCATGTGCCATCATGCCCAGCTAATTTTTATATTTTTAGTAGAGATAGGGTTTTGCCATGTTGGCCAGGCTGGTCTTGAACTCCTGACCTCACGTGATCCACCTGCCTTGGCCTCCCAGAGTGCTGGGATTACAGACGTGAGCCTCTGTGCCTAGCCCAATACCCTGACATTTGAGTGAACTTGAAGTTTGAGGGGAATATACACATAAGATGGTGAAGTGCGTTTCAGGCAGAAAGCCAATATCAGGACTCTAGGCCAGATGTGGACCTTGTGTATCTGAGAAGCACCAAGGAGGCCATTGTGGCTGCAGCAAAAAGAGCAAGGAGGAGAACTGTGGGAGTTGAGGTCAGGGTGGTAATGAGGGTGGGGCAGATCATGTGGGGCCTTTTAGGTCACAGTAAGGTCCGTGCCTCATACTCTGACTGAAATAGGAAACCATTGGAGGTTTGAATTGAGTAGAATGATCTGACATGCTTTGAATGCTCACATTGATTGCTGTTTCGATAATAGTTTGGGGGGCAAGGGCAGAAGCTGGATGGATACCTGTTAGGAGCCTTTTATAGTGGTTAAGAAGTGATATTGGCTGGGAGCTAGATGGTGGCAATGGAGGTAGTAAGAAGTGGTTAGAGTCTAGATTTGTGTTGAAGATTGAGCGAATAGGAGTTCCTGATGGATGGTAGAGAAAAGTAAAGAATAACTCTGAGATTTTTGACCTGAGCAGTTGGAAGGATGGAACAGCCATTAGCTATGATGGGGAAGCTATTGGTTTTGGGGGAAGACTAGGAGTTCAGTTTTGGACAAAATTGAATTTGAATTGACCTTAAGATAGAGTTGCAAAGTGGAGAGTAGGATATACAAGTCTAGGATTGAGAGAGAACTGGGCTGGAAATAAAAATCTGGGAGTTAATTGGCCAAGAGACTAGATGAGCTTGCAAGAGAGTAAGTCTAAACAGAAAAGAGGTATAAGGACTGAGCTCTGGGCACTACAGCATTAAGAGGTCTGAGAAAAGCAACCAGCAAAGGAGACTTAGAAGGAACATTCAGTTACGAGGAAGACTAAGAATGGTATCCTAAGTCATCCCTTGGTACCACTCAGATACCAAAATCTGTAGATGCTCAAGTCCCATATATAAAATGACGTAGTATTTTCATGTAAATTATGCACATCCTCCTGTATTCCTTAAATCAACTCTAGATTGCTTGTAATACTGAATACAACGTAAATGTTGTATAAGTAGTTTTTATACTGTATTGTTTGGGAAATAACGACAAGAGAAAAACTGCATATTCAGCACAGATGTAATTTTTTTTTTTTTCCCAAATATTTTCAAACTGTGTATTAAGGAGGAGGGAGCGATTAGCATAGCTAATGGCACTGATAGGTCAAGTAGGGTGAGCATTAAGATTTGACCATTGGTTAGAAAGGTTTCATGTAAAATTCGTTCTTAACATAGTCTTTCCATGCAAGGTTTGTGTTTATACAAATACCATATACGTACTTACACATTTATATACATATGAAATAATTACACGTAATACTGAGCACTATGTGGAAGGCACTCTTCTAAGTACATTTTTATGTATACATTTAATCCTCAAAATATTCTTACGAGGTATTCTTATTCTCATTTTCATAGGAAATGGAGATTTGTATGAGGTGAATTGTGGAATATGGACTGAAATCTAGGCAATTGGGTCTCCTGTTCTCTGTCTTAACTTATAAATTCTACTTGCCTTTTTAAATATAGATGATAATCTAGCCTGGTGGCTATGGAGCTGTTTATATGTCCGTAAATCTCAAGATATGGGTCTACTGATATCTAAAGGAGACAAAAACAGTGAATAAATCTAGCTACTCTGGCCAAAAAACTCAGTTATATTTTAGAGAGGATAATATGTTGTTTGCTTGTGCAGAATCGCTGTCATTGGAGAACTGCTCCTCCCTGACTCCAGGTGGTCCTGTTGAGTCTGTCAATCACAGTGTCCCTTCTTCCTCTTTCATAGGTTGGGCAGATGATCTGGCTAGCCTGGTTCACAGGCATGTGGAGATAGTATCCTTCCAGTAGATTTGATTGATCCTTTAGAGACAGGACCTCTTGCTTTTGCTTTGCAGATAGTAAGCTATAAGGATATAATCTTACAATTGTCAGCTGCCGTATTTCTAGCCATGCCAAGAGAGACTTCTCAACACTAGGGACTATAAGAAGGAAAACAGAATTAAGTCATTTGAGACTCTATCCAGCCATGCCTGCTTGTGGACTGGGCTGTGAGATGAAGCAGTAAATTCCCTTCTCTGTTATAAACTTTCTAATGCTGATACTTTTGATTCCTTTTATACCTTAAGCTCTTATAT